CTTCCTCTCTCCTGTTTGTGACATGCAAGAAAGCAAGAAATTTGATGTGGCTGTTGTGGGTGGTGGAGTTGTAGGCTGTGCTATTCTTCATGAGTTCACGTCTTTGGGGCTCAGTTGCATTCTGTGCGAAAAAGAGGAGAATCTTGTGAGTGGTGCCAGCTCGGGAAACAGTGGTACACTTCACACAGGATTCGATGCACCACTCGACAGTCTAGAGTTACGCTGTCTTCAGCGTGCACGAGATTTGAACGAGAGCTTTTTCTCCAACAACAACATCCCTTACCGGAAATCTGGCGGTTTTATTGTTGCTTGGAATGAAAACGACCTCGATAAGCTACCTGAGCTAGTCGCCAAAGCTCACAAAGCTGGCGTTACTGACGTCAGGCAAGTAACAGCTAATGAGCTACTCGAGAAGGAACCTCAGTTGAGTCACAAAGCATTAGGTGCTGTCTACGTACCAGGGGAAAGTTTAGTCGATCCTTGGAAGGTTCCCATTACCTTAGCTAACATAGCTACGACTCGCAATGCAACTATTTTAACAAGCTGTCACGTGACTGGTGGAAAGAGGCAAAAGAATCATTGGCAGCTGTCAACTTCCAAAGGACCAATCACTGCTTCAGTTGTTATCAACTGTGCTGGTTTATTTGGTGATGAATTGGAAACAATACACAGACAAAGTCCATTCACAATAAAACCTCGAAAGGGACAATACGCAGTTTTCAGCAAGTCGGCAGGCAGACTTTTGAATTCTATTATCTTCCCTGTTCCAACGCCAAAGACAAAGGGTGTTCTTGTCTTTCCAACGGTTTATGGCAATATTGTGGTTGGACCAACTGCAGAGGACCAATTAGATCGTAACAATGCCGAAATCAATGAGGCAGTTATTGAAAGCTTGGTAACCCATGCACACACCATTCTACCTTCCCTCAAAGAACATGCTGTTATTGGCACCTATGCAGGTTTGCGACCTGCCACAGAGTTTAAAGATTACTGCATTGACTGTCATCCAGGGGAAGGGTGGATCACAGTTGGCGGCATTCGCTCAACAGGTCTGTCTGCTTGTCTTGGGATTGCTAAGCATGTGGCATCATATTTACCATCTTTTGGATTTAAAAATTGTAATAACCCACCTGTAACTGGTCTGACAGTAGCTGATAAGGACTGGAAGATCACTCATCCTATTACAAAGTTTGGATTGTTGACTGATGATCACAAAATAGATGACTAAAATGAGAACTTGTGAATCAAGCAAAGTACATTTGCATTCTATTTGCTTTAACTGGAAACCCTTTGAGAACAACAAGAATCACCATCAATAATTGATGGTGATTCTTGAAAATTATTATTGAAAATGATGTACTTGAATGTAAAGAGACAGAAAGTACACAAGTTTACATTCAAATAGTTTTATTGATAAAATAACCAAGCCTTCGTGAAGTGGAATATTGTTATTTTAATTTTAAAAAAGTCAGATCCTACACCCTGTCCACTTCCCTTTGGATGGCATGCTACATGGTTGTCTTACCTGTCTACAAGCACCTCGCTCGAAAAAAACACAACATTTTTCCTAATATTCATAATAATTAAAATATATCATATTTGTGATTTTGACCTTCATAAATAAAATTAATTCTGAGGATCTTGGTTCATAAATATAAAGTAAAAGAAAATTTCATATTCTTGTGAAGTAAAATAACGTGGTAATAAATATTAAAGAGTATGATAATGCAGTGCTATTACTGCTCCTATAGGCAGGCAAATAGATATCTCCCCTCAGTCATGTCAATGCTCACTATGAGAGTGATTTCCACTCACCACAGTGCACCACAGTTAAACTAATCAGTGCAGGAAATTTGGAATAAAAGCTCAGAAATATAGGACATGAAAGGGATCAGTCTCTTTCTTTTCCTGGCAAATCATTTGCGCAGAGGATCTGAGGAAAAGGAGTGACTGCTCACGGTCTAATAGGTCACAAATCCCTGAAGAGAGATGTCTGTACAAGAGGCCACCCAGTGAAGGATGATAACTTTTATTGTAACAGCAGTTCAATAGGTTACTTGTTTGCAAAATAACTGATTCAATTCAGGAAAGTAAACAATAGATAATAATACCATATTAAATGGGTAATTATTTGTATAGAGTTGTGGGTAGTATCATGCTTACTTGTAATTTTAAAACATTTTGACCTGTCTATGATTCACCGAAACACAGCAACGTCAAGTCATAAAAATGAATAATCAATATTTGTAGTACACACTGCCACATTGAATAAGATGTCTAATAAGTTATAAATATATAAATTAGTACATAGATAATGACTTACATTAAAATAATTATCACCAGCATACTTTATGTGAAAATAACCAAGTGGGACGAAGGTAATTTAATGTTCTTTAAAAATTAAATTAAGATAATTATTATGTTAAGTTAATATTACGTTCTATAATAACTTAAAATGTATGAATTATGGATCCCTTAATGCTGTGAGGTGCTGATAATTAATTTAGCAAAAGTAACTCCATTGGCATCAAAGCCATGCAGTTAGACAAACACAAAATATACCTCTGCACTCTCACAATCATGGAAAATTGATAGCTGTTTAAGGCCTAGATGTTTAAAGTGGGATTGAGCCGTAAATTATAGGAATTATCTTAGTAAGTCAAGAGTGAGATGCCCACCTTCTAACTCCTGCACAGCCAACTTATCATTCTGCACAATGTTGTGTCACAACTGAGGAACCAGAGGGACTGCTTGAAGTCTAACAACCTAACCCAGATAAGTGTGCAGTCTTAAATGTAGTTTCATCAGGTTTTTAATGTAACTGTGAACAATATATCTTTGGAGTGGTTTTTCAATTGAGTATTGAGAGTAATTCACATTTGCCTTGGTTTGCATTACTATGCTACATGATTGGCTTTCACATCCAATTACAGTAAAAGGAAAATCAAAACCAAGCATGGCTTGCTCATACAGAAAATATAATGTTTACCTGTACTTCCCATCAGCTAGATGTGCTCACTTCAGGTTTTGTTGGGTTCTGTGGATTGTCTGGGCCCTTTGTGATTGGCCAGAGTAGTATTACTTAAAATGGTTTTTGCTTTATGACACACAACATCAATATTGAAAACTGCTCTAATCTGGAATAGCAATACAGGGGTGCTTACCATTTACAAAAACCATCTGGTTGGAAGTTTCAGGCATAAACATTAAACAATTAAATGCGATGTTGCGTGAGAGGGAATCGCTATAAAGTATATGCACATCAGCTAGAGAGACTTAAAAGAGCAGAAAAATAGCATCTCAAATCACAGCCCATATTTTCTGAAGCTTCCCAATTGTAATAGCGCGAACCATTTGATTTTCCAACTGGAATTTCCGGTTTTCCCATGTAAATGGTAAGTACCCCAGTTGTCATCTTTCAAGCAGTCAAGCTCTGAGTGGAAGACTCACAACGTCGAAACATACTGGAATGCACATACTGGAATGTGTAAACTTTGATTAGCATCATACGCTACAATTTCAAGTTCATTTGTACAAGGTTGACCATCTGAAGCACTGTCAGCTGCTGCAACTTTCTCTTTCTTAGCATCATATGCAAACCACCATGACGCCCACACAGAGTCTGACACGAGAATCCCAAGGTGAATGATGATCAGTGGAAGACTAATGATGCCTTGTTCAGCGTGGGTAAATGGAAGGTACCCGGCAATCGTCAATGCAACTGCTAAGGATTTCTGACTGGCCATTATCATGACTGACTTCAACGCAGGTCTATCCGGTTTGAGAATGAGGCATGGAGGATATATGACAATGATAAAGAGCAGATGCATTGCTAAACCCCATCCAAGCACAGCAAAAATGCTTCCAACAGAGATTGCGCCAAAGGCTTTTTGCTTACTTGCTTGACTGACCTTCAACCATGGAATCATTGTTAACAGTATGATGCTTATCACCTTAAGTGTGTTGGAGAATTTCTTGATGCAAGGCTTCACATGAGGCACATACCTTAGCCCTTTGCCAACCTGTAAAAAGGAAACAGAAATTACAGTTAAACCTCCACTAATGGCCTCTACAACCTCTCTACAGTGGCCACTTTTTT